ATATGTCTTAAAAAGTTCATAAAGAGATTTTATATGTCTTAAAGAAGTTCATAAAGAGACTTTTTATGTCTTAAAGAAGTTCATAAAGAGATTTTATATGTCTTAAAGAAGTTCATAAAGAGACTTTTTACGTCTTAAAGAAGTTCATAAAGAGACTTTTTATGTCTTAAATTATGTATCAAAAAAAAAAGCCTCTAAAATATTTTTTTAAAGCACAAGCACTAAAAGTTGTATTAAACAAATTAAAATTTAAATTTATTTAAAACCTAAATTATAGATTGTCAAAGTTTAGCCTCAACTACGTTGAATTTTCATTGTGTTTACCGTTGTTTTTTTTAATGTGAATTTATACTTTATTTTGTAAAAACGAACTCCTAAATACCGTGAATTTTCACTATACCTAATGACAAGCAATCTTAAGAGGTCAAAGTTTACATTAAGCTAATGCGTTAAGCAATTTTTCATTAAAACGAGGCCTGGTATATGGTAAAAAAAACTAATTAAAAAAAAAATTAATTTAAAACTATAATATTAAAATTTTGTATTTTTTGATTGACTTTTAGTTAAATGTTCTATTGGTTGGTTAGAGTACGGAGGTTATTGCTATCTTTTTAACACTGCAACTGCAACATTGCATGGAAAAAATTGGAAAGATTCACTTTTATCATGTCTAAGTTATGGTGGAAACCTGTTAAGTGTAACTGATCAAGCAGAAAATTTATTCATTGTAAATCAACTTAAGAATGACAACATGGGAAACAATCACTATTGGATAGGTATGCTTAGCTCTTATTTTGTTCATAAATTACAATACATTTTTAAAGTTAGCAGATTTTTTTATATTTGGCTGTTTGATCAGGTCTCAGTGAACTTAAGAATGAAAGAATATTTATATGGTCTGATAGCACAGCCTTAGTGTTTTCGAATTGGAAAGCTAATGAACCAAACAATCATAAAAACAATAATGAAGAGTGTGTGCAAGCAACTGTTGACGGCTGGAATGACAATGTCTGCAGTGGCCTATTTGGATTTATTTGTAAAGTGAAACAAGGTTTTATTTAGTTATTTTTTATTTATTAATATATCAAATACAAACAATTGTTGCTTTTGTCATTTTTACTATATGTGGTTAAATGAGCAAATTTAAAAACTTTATGATCTTTTCCTACAAACTTTACATTAAAACTCTTAATCTGTTTACAAGTTGAAACTTTATAGCAGCTGCGGTGTTGTGGTTAGAGTTATGGCGTCAGAAATGAAGGTCTGTGGTTTGAAGCCAGCTCTGGCCATTTATGCAACATTTTTAAAAAAGGAGACATTAATGTCCTAATTAAATGCTATTCTGCGGTGCTCTGTGGTAAGATTGTTAGAACCTACATACATCATACATTTATACATACATTTGCACTTACATCATACATTTATACATACGTTTGCATATACATCATACATTTATACATACATTTGCACATACATCATACATTTATACATTTGCACATACATCATACATTTATACATACATTTGCACATACATCATACGTTTATACATACATTTGCACTTACATCATACATTTATACATACATTTGCACTTACATCATACATTTATACATACATTTGCACATACATCATACATTTATACATACATTTGCACATACATCATACATTTATACATACATTTGCACTTACATCATACATTTATACACACATTTGCACATACATCATACATTTATACATACATTTGCACATCATACATTTATACTGAAGAGTAAAGATAAGTAGATGTCAAAATCTCATCAATATCAATTTTATTGGAAACCTTGAAATGTTTTTCCAATTGAGGTAAAGTTATTCATAATTACCAAATGATGATTAGCTGGATTTTCAGGGCGTTAGCCAGAAAAAAGTATAATACAGCATTTTTGCGATATTGGGAATTTAGGTTTAGGTCGGCTGGAGAACAAAACAAAAAAAGTTATTGCATTCTGACATTTAAATTTTAAATGTTTAATTTTTAAACAAATTTACAGTGTTTTAAAATTGCATTAAATATGACAATAGGACTTTAAAACGTTGTCAGCGATAAGTAAAAAAAACTTATTTAAATCCATAGATTTATTATTTTTAGATCGGAAAATTGGCTCACCAATTTTGGTAAAATAGAATGTTAAAAGAACTTTTGTTGCAATATACTATTTTAGAACTGATTTAAAAAAGCAACAATGGTATTTAAGAGTCGGAGATTCTTAAACATGACCGCACCAGGGCGGTGTAAATTTAAATGGCAAATTTAAATATCTAACAAATTTTGTATTTGTAAACCAGAAAAAATTAAATATTGAAATATTAAAAATATTAAATATTAAAATTAAAGTAAATATAATATAATTATCCTCTTCTATGTTTTATGCAAATATAACATAAATGATACATTTAATTGCAAGTTTTATTTTTGATTTTTAAGTTGTTGTTGTAATTAGTTTTGGTTAAATTAAATATTAAAATAAAAATATTAAATATTAAAATTAAAGTAAATATAATATAATTATCCTCTTCTATGTTTTATGCAAATATAACATAAATGATACATTTAATTGCAAGTTTTATTTTTGATTTTTAAGTTGTTGTTGTAATTAGTTTTGGTGTACTTTACCAGCAAATTTAGTTAAGTGACAGTATTTTTAATTCCCTCAATAAAAAAAACAACTTATTTTAAGTATATTATTATTATTCAAAGATTTCAGTAACTTTCCTAACATAAGGTAACAGTAATAAAAATGTATATAAAGAGTTTTTGAATATTGAAAATAAATTTTAAAAAATAATAAAATAAACCTAATGAAAAACCTAAATTAGAGAATTACTGACGTCTATTAAAAAATAAAGTTCTTTTTAACTTTTGAATAAGTGACCTTGCTTATTAATGACAACGCTTTTTTTTTCAAATTGAAAAAAAAAACATGGTTATTGAGTTAATTAATTACTTTGTTGTGCGTACTAATTATGTTTTCTATATTTCTTGTGTAACACTTTAAATCAAATATATATATATATATATATATATATATATATATATATATATATATATATATATATATATATATATATATTAGATTTAAAGTATACTATGATTTTTTGAACCTTTAGGAATTTTATACCAGTTGGAAATTCCACGTTATACGCAGTGATATCAGACTGGCTAACACTGATTGGCTGATTTTAGCTGTGATTGATAAAATAGTTTTAAAAAATAACTGAACCCCAGTACTTGTTAAATCTAATAAAAAGTTGTATAATACAAAAAAAAATTAGAGTTGATTTCTACCTTGCACATCTTAAAATGCAGTTAGCAGAAACTCATTTTATTGCCGAGAAAAATTTTCAGAATAAAAAAAAAAACGCTTCCAAAGTTAATTTACAACATGCACAAGCATGAGGTGATTCTAGAATAAATGAGGGAAGGGGGAATCCTTAAAAAGCATTGACTGGCTTCTCAAAAAAAAAAGGTTCATAAAACTAAAATTTACCTGACTGAGTTGTGTCAAATCCCGACTAGCTAACTAAATTCGTAAAAAAACCACTGTAACTTCAAAATCACCTACTTTAAGAGGATGAAGGGTGGAACACCCCACATACGCACCCGTAAAATCACCTCTGTGCACAAGCATGCTTTTTTATCACAATCTAAGAATTATGGTAGACCCTAAGAATTACTTACATTCATGTAAGTAATGCTTACATGAATGTAAGTAAATCTTAGATTTCTTACATGAATGTAAGTAATTCTTAGGTTCTACCATAATTCTTGTGATAAAAAAGCATGCTTGTGCACAGAGGTGATTTTACGGGTGGGTGTGTTGGGTGTTCCACTCTTCATCCCCTTAAAGTAGGTGATTTTCAAGTTATAGTGTTTTTTTTTTACGAATTTAGTTAGCTAGTAGGGTGTTAGACACAATTCAGTCAGGTAAATTTTAGTTTTACGGACCTTTTTTTTTTTTGAGAAGCCAGTCTCTGCTTTTTAAGGATTTCCCCTTTCCCTCGTTTATTTGTAGAATCGCCTCTGCTTGAGCATGTTGCAAATAACTTTGGAAGTGTTTTTTTTTTTAATTTAAAAATTTTCTTAAAAAAATGATAAATGTTAAAAAATGTATATATATATATATATATTCATTTACAAAAAACATACATACATATATGCATATATAAATAAAATATATACAAATTTAAACAAATATATAAAGCTAAAATATATACAAATAATACATATAAAAACATATATACATGTATAAAAAATGATAAATGTTAAAAAAATGAAACCAGAATTCTGGTTTCATTTTTTTAACTATTGTTTGCTTATACTTCTAATTTTATACTTAAATTATCAATGTAAATAAAGAGTACAAAGATTTGTCTCTAAATAACTGGTTATTTTAAAACCTGTTAATTTCTGAACATATATTTATTTATGAATATCTGTTGTTATATGATTATAATTAGGTAATGTTGGTATATGTGCAAATGATTGGTTAGAGTATGGAAATCATTGTTATCTTTTCAACACTATAAATGGTACATTACAAGGAAAAAATTGGAAAGATTCTAGTACAACCTGTCAGAGTTATGGTGGAAGTTTATTAAGTGTAACAGATCGCGCAGAAAATTTGTTCATTCTAAACCAACTTAAAAATGATAACATGAAAAATAAACGTTATTGGATAGGTATTCTTTGGTTTATTTATTTTTTTAGATATTACAGTACAGTTTTGAAATATATTAGCCAACATTGAAAATCATTTACATTTGTTTTTTTAATCAGGTCTTCATGAACTTAAGAATGAAAGAAAGTTTACTTGGTCTGATAGTACAGCTTTACTTTTTTCTAATTGGAAAGCAAATGAACCAAGCAACCAAATGAATGAAGATTGCGTGGAATTAACTATTGATGGTTGGAATGACATCAGTTGCAATAGCCTTTTAGGGTTTATTTGTAAAGTTAAACAAGGTTATTTTACTTTTTACTTAAAGTTAAGATGTAATAAATGTATTTTATTAATGACATTAATAAATATTAATCAGACTATATATATATATATATATATATATATATATATATATATATATATATATATATATATATATATATATATATATATATATATATATATATATATATATATATATATATATATATATATATATATATATATATATATACATATATATACATATATATACATATGTATAGGTACCTTCGTACGCGTCCGTTTTTTTATTTTGACATCGCTTTTATAAAGTTTCTGGATTTCCGTGTTTTTTCAAACTACGCTATATGCATAAAGGAAAGAGTGTTTAAAAGCTAGCTAAAAAATAAACTGTCAATTTTTATTATATTTTTTCGTTTAAAGTAAAGGTTAAACTTGTTTATAGTTATACAATTTTTAAAAAATTGCGATTTTTTCACTTTTAACGAATCCTGTCAAAATAGGTAATTTTCATATAAAGAATTTAATATACCAATATAAATGCTTATAAATTATTTTGACATGCTCAAATAAATTCTTCACAGATTTTCATTTGATATATAATAACCGATACTTTAAAATCTCCTTCATGTTTAAAAAAGATACATACAGTTGCTACCGCCAAATAATTTATTGTTTATAGCGCCATTTTTTAAATTATTGTCATTGTTGCTTTTTATTTTTCTTAACTTTAGATGGACCACAAGACTGCAAAAGATATTTGCGTTTTAATTAATTCATATAAATGCCAATCGGAGCCTTTGTTAAATGGTGACATTTACAAAATTTTTTCTGAAAATAATTTCAAATTATCAAAAACTTGTCTGAAATTAAAAAAACTGAACATTGGACTTCAAAATGCATCTGATTTTAAAATATTCTCTAACAATATAATATACTTGCATAAAAAGATAAAAATCAGTAAAAAAAAACCTACCCAGTCATGGGCTGCTATTGTTATTTTTTTGCAGCAACCATTTAAATATGAAAGAAAAAGAAATAGTTTTAATACAAATATTCACTTAAACGTTGCAAGTGATTTAAATATTGCTTCAGACACAATGCAGAGAATAAAGTGTGGTTCATGCAAAATAAAAAAGATGAAATATGTAGTTTACATGAAAAAAAGAAAAGAAAATTGCAGCAGAGAGTTCGTTTTTTGAAAAAATCAATGACCCATAACAAGCTTACAAACAAAAAATTTAAAAGACAGTTTTTCTCACTAAATTTGTGGAAATTGAAATATTCAGAAGAAAAGAAAAAAAACAGTTCAGCAGAATAAGTTTCATTCTCTTGATGAATTGAGAATTCTTAAAATTAGTAAAACGAAGTTGCAAAAAACGAAACCTCACTCATCCACGTTAAATCAAATGGCATATGAGCCAGGTGTTTTAGCATTGGTTCAGGCTGGTGAGGCACTTTTTCATTGTGAATGTGCAACAGTAGTGTTTGATACAACCACCGTTTTAGACAAACATGTAAATGAGTTTCTTATCAGTACTTATCCTCCGCAGAGATGTTATTCCTTATTAACCGCTAATCTTGCTGGAAGTACAGGATTTGACTGTGCCACTCATATTGTCAGTGTATTAAAGAACTTGCCAATACATTTGCAGAGTTTAAAAATATGCCAGCAATAGAATTTTTAGATGTATTCCCTCAAAAAATCAAAAGTTGTCTGTCAGACAGAGCACCTGTTAATAGTTGTGTGAAAAACATGCTTCAAGAGGAGATGGACATTCAATTAATGCAACTGTACTGCAATGTTCATCCATTGGAAACTATTGCCTTAAAAGCATTATTAGCTCTTAAAACAATAGATAATGAGTTGAAGATAAAACCGGCTAAAGGAACTGATAGGGTTAGATTAGATTAGATTAAAATTTATTAGAACAGTGATACATGTTCTAAAGGACACGCAGGTCCATAAAATATGAAGGACTCTGACAACGTGCCCTACAATTACATAATACAAATGCTAAATAATTTAAAATATATATTACAATTATATATAAGACCATAGTTATAAAACGAAAACCAGTTAGCCGGAACAGTATTTTTCAAAGTCAATAGAGTTAATTTTAATTTTGAAGCTCTTTATATTTTTGGCATTCACGGCGTCAGACGGCAAGTTATTCCAAATATTAACAACCCTGAGTGAGAAAGAGTGTTTACGGACATCGAGTTTACATTTTAGTTTGCGTAATTTAAAATTATGTTCTCGAGTGTAAATATAGTTGTTAAATAAAAAGAAACTTGGTTATTTAGGCAAACTAAATTGTTCAGAATTTTGTAACATGTAATCATGTCTTGCTTAAGGCGACGAATTTCTAGTACTTCAAAAGTAATCCAGAATCAATTATTTATACAGATGTGGATATTTTTAGTCAAGTATTAAATATTAAAAAAGATAAGATACACCAATCCCTTCGTGTAATAAAAAATAAAAATATTTTAGTAAAGATTTTATCAGTTTTGATAAGCTACACAGAGACAGTTCTCAAAAGGCAGATGGCCAGGTATTTGACTGCCAATCTCTCAAATCCATCTAAAGAAATGATAAAAACCACACTATCTGCTCCACCTCAGACAATGGAGGCTAAAAGGATATTGGACATGCTTGATTTTTTTTTTTGCGTTGTGCTCCTTATGTTTTCTGGATTCAAAAAGTTAATTTTAAAAAAGAACGTCTGGAAAGAATACAACTAGAGAAGGATATTAAAAGAGCAATAGCTGAAAATGCCAAAACCACAAATCCTCTTTTTGTTAATATTGATGATAAACAAAAACAAATATTAGGAATCATTTTGAAAAATGGAAACTTGATAGGGCAACTCTTATCTAATACTTAAAGACCTGGAGTTCATTGAAAATTACTATAATATATTAGGCATTATTATCTTTTATTTTGTTTATGTTGATTATTTTGTATACATTTTTATTTTTTCCTTTTAATTTTAAAAATTTTTTATGTTAACCAAGAGTAGACACAGGGTTATTTTACATTTCAGATAATGAACTTGGCATTATGAAAACTAAGTATAAATATGTTCAATCATATGTCAAATAAGAATGATTTGCTAAAAAATTGTGGTAATTAAAACTTAGGAACAAAACTATCTAAAAAAGATAGAACCCCCTGTCTCAAATGTTAATTTAATGAGTTAATAAATTTTTAAGTTTATTATCCAAAACTAAATTTAAATTCGCATTTTTTAATGCTCAAAGGTTATGACCATGTGAAATAACTTAAAAAAATAACTTTAAAAATATCAAGAATTATTAGGTCTGTTGATGGATTTAAATGTAGTATAAAATAATAAGTTAAAGTATTTTAATAACTTAGTCCCCCCACATTTTTATGTGGGGGTACAAACTTTTTGGGGTATTTTTGTTCCCAGGCTCCAATCACTTCAATTTTTTATACAATTTTTTTTTCACATTCTCATTAAATTTAAGCATGAACAAACTTAAATTTAGATTAATTATGGTAATTATTTTAATAAAATGACTTGAATCGAATTTGACCCACTTTTGAAATGGGCTTAAACACCCCCTCCTCCCTTTTTTTTAAATTTAATTTATTTAATATAAGTGGGACATATTTAAACAGTTTTTATCATATATGTGACGGTAAATTGTTAATACTTTATGAACTATGTTATAAAGTCCACTTTTTGAAGTTATTTTCTTGTGTATCTTTGTTAAGATGTCCACTTTATTTTCTCTACCTTCAAAATTGAATATCTTTTTTTATAGTTGACCCCAAATTTGACAAATTTTTATACCCCATAAGTTTGGTATAAAAATTTGGTTTTAATTTGGTTTAAAAAATAAAAGTTTAAATTTTTTATGAAGGTACCTACATATATATATATATATATATATATAGATATATATATATATATATATATATATATATATATATATATATATATATATATATATATATATATATATATATATATATATATGAGTTAAGGATTCAGATTTAAATTCAGAAATTATCAATTTCAGAAATGGGCAGTTCCACCATGTCAGACGTGACATTCAGACATGAATTAAAAGTATCGTTTATTACGAAATCACGAAGTTTTGCCAATATATTTTCATTGTTAATACAATGGTGTTGTGTGCTATTAATCATGTTATCATGATTTTTTATTTACAATACTTGCAGTGCTGTAACTAAAATCACATGGTGTTAGGCATGATGGCATAAAATTTGACGAATTGTACCCTTTTTACTCTAAAAGCAAATTATGTGAAAGTAAAGAAATACTGCTTAAATATTTTTTCAGAACGCTTAGTGAGATATATAAAATTTGTAATATGTGTTTATTTGATCCAATTTTATATATATATATATATATATATATATTATATATATATATATATATATATATATATATATATATATATATATATATATATATATATATAATGAATAAAAACAACTTTTGATGGAACTCTGAGTTTCACGCCTTTTGTTAATCATCGGCCATTAGTGTATAATTCATAACATAAAATCCGTTTAAAAAATACAAATTAAAATTATGGTGGAACAATTTCTGATGTTACTAAAACAAAATAAAAGAAAAAGATGTCAAAGATTTTAGTCACCGGTGTCGAATAAGGAAAGTAAAAATTTCTTTGAATGCCGACACCGGTATTATCTCATATCTTTTATTAAGTAAAATTTCTCCTCTATATGATTATTTATTAAATTTCTTGTGGAGACAAAGATTACAAAACTTTGATACTTGATTGTAGGGCTTACATTGTGCTATTATCTTCCATGTAATCATAGTTTTATATTTTTATATTTTAGTTTCTATATGTCTTTAGAAAGTTGAGTGTCATTTTTATATCTGGATGCATTGAAAGATTTAAGATGGTTGGCATATTTTAAGTTAAATGTGGTTTAACTTAAACCAAAATAAACATTTTTGAATTCAGAGTCTCCAGAACTTACAGTGGC